GTTGGGTAACTCACCAGAGCTCCATGCTGATCAATCTCTAGATCAGCAAAAAACGCTTTTTGCTCTGGGAGCAGATGCAATGAATCAACTTCTCAGGTGTGATGATCAATAGCTACACATTCATCCATAAGGTAGGTATCCACCACTCAATATAATGGTTCCAGGAGCATTATATCACTCTCTCTTTTTATATCTCTCCACCGAGGTCATGTTTGGGAATGAAAGAGAAAAATCATGGTGCAGCCAGTTTTTTTATAAAAGTATCCAACAATTTAATAAAGATTTACACTCACAAAAAGGGTGTCTTCACCGACACCAGTATAACAGCATAAAACAGCAAATGGTATAACAGTCTCCTGTTCCCCGTACACTCACTACAGCGCTCGTGACTTAATTTTCTCCACAAACGTCAGCATCCAGTAAGCTCTACTAGTTTCGTCATGAATGACGTCTTCCGCCCCTTGAAGACGTCATTCATGACGAAACTAGTAGGGCTTACTGGATGCTGACGTTTGTGGAGAAAATTAAGTCACGAGCGCTGTAGTGAGTGTACGGGGAACAGGAGACTGTTATACCATTTGCTGTTTTATGCTGTTATACTGGTGTCGGTGAAGACACCCTTTTTGTGAGTGTAAATCTTTATTAAATTGTTGGATACTTTTATAAAAAAACTGGCTGCACCATGATTTTTCTCTTTCATTCCCAAACATGACCTCGGTGGAGAGATATAAAAAAGAGAGAGTGATATAATGCTCCTGGAACCATTATATTGAGTGTGGTGGTGGATACCTACCTTATGGATGAATGTGTAGCTATTGATCATCACACCTGAGAAGTTGATTCATTGCATCTGCTCCCAGAGCAAAAAGCGTTTTTTGCTGATCTAGAGATTGATCAGCATGGAGCTCTGGTGAGTTACCCAACTTTACTTTTGGTGGTGGATTTTGGCACAATTTCTTTGAGAGCACCTGAATTTGGAAAGGATTTGTTTGGACATTTGAAGAAATTCAGAATTGGACATTTTTGTTTTTTTTTTTTTTTATATTCACAAATTTAATTATTTAAATTACTTATGTTTTGCACATAATTTTGATATTTTTTGATATTAATTGATAATAGATATATATATCTTTTGCACTAATGTTTTTCTACACTAAATTAGGAATAGTTTGTGGTTTTAGCGCATTCCTTGATTTAAGTTATAGCACTAAGAAATTTATTTGGTTTCTTTGAGGTGGAATTGCTGCTTTAAAGTATTAAGGGTGTGGCGCTTTTATTACACTTGTGATATTTCATGCAGGATTTCCGGGATTCTCAAGTAATGGTTGAGCACTTTGAAATCCAAGGTAGAACGCACGTCTCCACTGGGTTTTAGAATCGTAAATAAGTTGGTGTAAAAACCCTGAACATTGTCCCCTACCAAAAGCAGGCACAATGACCATTAGAGAACTAAGCTGTAGGAGGGCAACCTGAAGAAACTGTGCTCTCTGTGGAGAGAATGTCAGGTTGGAAGTCGTGAATTGGGAAGGGAGTTTGGAGATGGACTCCAGTTTGCAGTCTTGGAAAATAGCCTGAACCCAAATTGTTCCAGAATGTCCCAGACCCAGACGCCGCAAAAGGCCAACAGACACCCCAGCCACTTAATAAAGTGGGGGTGCCCGGTCACTGTGCAGAAGTATTAGAGCCATGTTATGACCAGTTTGGGTGTCCAAGGCTTACATTTGTATCTCTTACCCCCAGTAACCTTTTCACAAAGAGAATTCTCTCCATTTGTTTTTTGCTGCAACCGCCAACAAATACATGAGCCACAAGAGCCTGCACATCTGAAAATAATGCTCACTAGTCATTTGATGTAGGGAATCAGTCATCTTGTCTAGGCAGTATCTCACAGAAGTCAGTAGCAGTTCCCAACGCTAAAGAAGCTCAGGGTCTATAGGAATGGATCCTGGATCATGACACATCCTTTTTCCCCAGACCGCATCTGATATAACGCCATGAAAGCAATACGTTGCACTGCCAGACCACTCAGGTAAAAGAGGATTTGAAAATAAAACTCAAGCTTCTTATCCACAGCATCCTTAAATGTGGGTAAATTGTCCACAGGTACCTTTAGAGACCAGTTGAAACAGACAACTGCTGAATCAACATCAATGGATACTCATTTACAGAGAAAGGAATCCTCTATAGGGTTTTAATGAGCAAATTGTTTTGGTGGAGCACAGAACTTTTCAGGAGGTTCCCAGTCATCCTATAGCACGTCCTCCACTAAGAAAAGAACAAAGGTTTTCAAAAACCTGCACTTTATAAACAAACTCATATTGATAACCTTGGTTCTGGAAGCTTTTGTAGATTCCAGTGCCAGACAGGTCTGCAAGTCATCAATTAACATGGATATGATAAAATGGCCAAAGAAAACATTCTCCAACCCACACTCTTTTTCCTCCCCATCTGCTCCACTATCCTCTTCCAAAAAAGAAATCCCTTGGCTGGGGAGCGTCAGAAACCAATTCTTATGGAGAGGGGGGCAGGGGTCTCTTAAGACCCTGATGGCCTACGGACTGAATGAGATCTGCAATCTGTCTGATAAGCATGGACATAGAAGCTGCAAAGCCCACCTTGCTGAGGCATGTGGGACATCTGATGGGGCAATGGATACATCCATGGAGGGGAGGAAAATAAGAGGGGGAGCAACTTAGAAAATGGTCAGTGACTGAATCCCCAGAGTGGGTCAGTGCAGCTCCTGCAGCCAAACTGGTAAGCCATAACCACTCTCTGTTCTCTGGAAGCCTTCTTGCTCAGGACTTTGCATAGTAAGAGTTGTAAGCAGCCAGCCAGGACACGTTATGGTGAATGAACCAAGTCCTTAAATAGCCAATGCACTTTCCTTAGAGGGCGGTAAGGCTGCCCAGGGGTGCCTGCACCTGTACCTGAGCAACAGTTATAAGCCCTGAGCGACCCTGCTGTAAATACTCATTGGAAGAGGACAGGAGGATGACCCAGCGGTCACCCTGGGCATAAGCCCACTGTAAGTGAGAGGACTGAGGGGCACCCAGCCATTTACATGCTTACAGTTTCACAGAGAGCTTCCACACAGGGAGAGCAGTCATTATCCCTTCCTATCACCAGTTTTTCCCAATTCAGAAAGTTGTATAGCCTCAGCAAGGGGGTCATTAGGGATTAAGTAACATCAGTGCAAATCACCTCTTCCCTGCGCCTGTATAGCAGCCCATGGCTAACTCAACAGACTGCACTACATGCCAAGGAGGGCCTCTAATAAAGGATCAAGTGCACAAAGTGACTTTACAGGCTGGCCCCATATCTTCCCTGGTGGAGTCCATTTACGGTCCCTGAAGCGCTAGCCATGGGGCACTGATCTGGAAACTGAGTAAGATGCTGCCGAAGTCATAACAGAGCAAAAAATGTTGAATGAAGAATTCGGTGAATGTGACTAACAAAATAAAGTCCCCAGTGAGTAGAGAGGAGACACCCAATACCTAAAGACACCAGCAATAAACTGAGGATTACTGGGAGTGGGAGGGGTTATATGGGGGATTTCACAGTCTATTTGCCAGTGTCTAATTACCTGAAGGTGCCTGTGTCTTGCACTGTATGATCAAGACATGTCAATTTCTGGCAAGCAGTGTACAAATCTTTGGTGGGACCATCTATTAATATCATATTAGCTTTACATTTCTATCTTAGAGAACAGATATCTTACAGAATGCCCTAACCATATGACAAAATTCCAAGCTATGTTAGCGTTTTGAAAGCCTCACCTGGATTTTCTTCATCAGTGCCATCATCATCCCACTGATTCTCTCTAGAGAGCAAAGGGTTTTGAGATTCTGAAACTGTTCTCATTGAAAAGGATAATCCATCTCCAATACTAAGAAAAAAGAAAACAAAAACACAATAAAGTTCAAAAGTATAACGATGTAAATAATACAATGCAGAAGAAACATTAAACCTGTAACTAATTTTACTTTTCAATGATCTGAACACCAGATATGTAAACCCAACATTTCATATTCCTAGTATATGCCTGCTGTACCATGTACTTGTATGAAAAAGTATCCTGTTCTTTTTGTGTTGCTTCTTTGTGTGAAATACCTGGTATTCCTGACAGTCCCTCTGTTTTCCTATGTGCATGGACCGATAAAAAGGGGAAAAAATGTATTTAATTTTTTTAAATATGTATACAAAATGTTTTGCCTTTCATTATATTTTAAAACTAAACTAAATGGGTTGTTTTACAAGGTGTTTTACATATTCTTTAACATTTATCTTTATGGCTACTAAACAAATCACTGCCAAAGCCTGGAAATGTACAACTCTTTAAATTTAAGAACATGATAAAGCAGACCAGCATATATGAAAAATAATTATGGTGAAACTGTACCCCTAGGGTTAGCCATTTCCTCCCACCCACTTTTGATAAACACCTCATATAATTATATGACATAGGGATAATGGCTCCCACCACCAAAACCCCAAGTTTCCATTCTATTACACACTGCCTAGCCCCCTTTTTTGCTTCCTGCTCCTGTCCTTCCCCTACTATTTTTTATTCTCTTTTCCCTTCATCCACAACTACCTCTAACTTTTTCTATACAAGGCCCTTACATCTATACTTTGTTGCCCACCATCACTTATTTTTGGTTGCTCTGCACATGTATCAATTACAGTTAAGACAGTAGTGTATGACTCCCTTTGTACTCTCGTGTCTGCATGGACTTCTGCCATTGAAGTCCTAATGCCTTTGACTTTGTAAAACCAATGTGATGTATTCTACAACCCAATACAAATTTTTTGAAATGAGAAAAAGTAAATCATTTAACAGATATGTAAAAGTGTGGGATCATAAAATCCTGGTGTGTACCCTTTGGCTCAAGGACTAAATGTGACCCCTGGTACTCATTAGTAAAAAAAGAAAAAAAAAAACACACCACCTATTTGACCATCTCCTGTAGTAAGTCTCCTTTCCTGGCAGTTCAGGAATCCTATACCATGTAAGCTGACCAACACCATGATAAAATATTATCGATGTGTACAAAAATCTGGTAGCCTACCTTGTGAAGACAGGAATTAACCAAAGATTTTTTCTGCTTCCCAAACACTTGCTCCAAGTTCTTTCTAATGCCCAGGTGGAAGCCATTTTTATCAGGACCACTGTAAAACACTGGGACTGAGAAGGCCTCTAGGAGGTAAGAAAAAAAGGACAACGCAGTGAGAAACAATCACCAGTTATCACCATTCTACCTACAAATATTTTCTCAGCTGATACAGTTCACATTGTAAAAAAAAAAAAAAAAAAGAAAAAAAGATTCAAATCAAATTTAAATCATCCTAATCAGCTACAATTACCAATATGCAAAGTAACTATATCCCCGGTACCCAACACGCAGCCTGTTGACCCCCCAATACATGTAGCTAGAGGGCTATTGGGCACCATATGAATAGCAGCAGGGTGCCAGGCGCTGGATCCCTCTTTGTTCCAGCACCCTACATTGAAAGAGACTGTATTGTGGGTAGAGGACAGGGTTGGCTCTTTATTTTACAGCCATGACCACCGGAAGGGGGGTGTTAACTTTCACTGCGAGTGCTGGGGCCTATTACTGTGTTCACTGACACAAACGTTGAGGGTTATTTCTGCATCCACGGATACCAAATGTTGAGGGATAATATTGCATCCAGTGACACCAATGCTGGGGGTTATTGTACTCCCAACTTCTTCAGCATGCATTGTAATAATGCTGCAAAACATGCATCAGGACAGAGTTGAGGTGCGAAAATGCAAGCAGTGCTGCCCTCTAGAAGTGTCGGGTTCCACACTTTCGGCCCCCTGTAATTTTCAAGTTGACCACCAGAGAAACATTTCAGTGACTGTATAATCTATCCTCAAAGTGAGGCCAAACACAAGCTTATAAGTGCTATTTGTGTTTATGTGATATTGCATCCGCTTTTGGTGCTGATAATACAAAGCATTCACACACACACCTAAACACAGACATACATAACTACACACACTCACTCTTTTCATTGTGCACTGGAACCCCTGGGAACCCGTTATTCCTTTCTTTCCCATCTTCACCTTTAGGTACTCTTATTCTTCATATCAGTGGTTTAACGATTGTATACAACAGCTATCCTTCCACAACTTAGAGGAGATACCTTTTTCACATCAGTAACAACCCATGCAATACATACAAAGAAATCAAAACAAACAAGTTCAGAAATTAAGTTGTGTGTAATAAAATGGAATGACCCAGGGAAAAATATTGAACACGCTAACTGAAAATTATTTAATACTGGGTACAAAGTTGGTAATGACAGCTTCAAGATGTCTCCTGTATGGAGAAACTAGTCATATACATTGCTCAGGTGTGTTTTTGGCTCATTCTTCCACACAAACAGTCTTCACATGTTGAAGGTTCAGTGGGCCTCTTCTATTAACTCTGATCTTTTGTTCTTTCCATAGATTTTTCTATTGGATTCAAGTCAGATTCTAGCAGCTTTATTTTCTCTTTGAAACCAATTGAGAGTTCCCTTGGCTTTGTGTTTGGGATCATTGTCTTGCTGAAATGTCCACCCTCTTTTCATCATCATCATAGATGGCAGCAGATTTGTTATCAAGAATGTCTTGGTACATTTTCCATTCATCCTTCCTTCAATGATACGAAGTTTGCCAGTACCTTATGCTGAAAAACAGCCCCATACCATGATGTTCCCACCTCCAAACTTCCCTGTTGGTATAGTGTTTTTAGGGTGATGTGCAGTGCCATTTGACCTCCAAACATGGTGTGTATAATGGCATCCAAAGAGTTACATTTTGGTTTCATCTGACCAGACTATGTTCTCCCAGTATTTCACAGGCTTGTCTAAATGTTGTGCAGTAAACTTTAAACGAGCTTCAACATGCTTTTTCTTCAGCAATGGAGTCTTGCATGGTGAGCGAGGCCATGGCGGCTGAGTGCATTACATATTGTTTTCTCTGAAACAATTGTACCTGTTAATTCCAGGTCTTGTTGAAGCGCTCCACAAGTGGAGCTTGGCTCTTGGACAACTCTTCTGATAAAAGTTTAGAAATCCTTCTGTAACCAATGCCATCAGTAGGTTTTGCAACAATAATGCAGGCCATAGATGGGGAGAAAAACTGCAGATTTTTCTTTTAAAAAACGAAAAATCGGTTGTTCAAGTGGCCGACGTTACCATCAATGGTAAAAAAAAAAAAAAAAAAAAAAAAAAAACGGCCGATTTTCTACCGTCTAGAGCCGGCAAAAAAAGTGTCCCTGCAGAGAGCTCTGCTATTTCTTTGACAGTTCTCTGACAGTTCCTTGACATTTATAGAAGTTGCAACAATGTATCTATTTGTTTCCATTTAGGATACAGATGTTTTTATTCGGAAACAAATAGATACAATGTTTCAACCGCTGTAAATGTCAAGGAACTGTCAGAGAACTGTCAGAAATAGCGGAGCTCTCTGCAGAGACACTTTTTGCTGTACTGGAATTCTTCTTATTTTCATCCTACTTCTTCTTCTTCATCCTCATCCTCTTCTTTCTTCTTCATCCTCATCCTCTTCTTCATCCTCATCCTCTTCTTCATCATCCTCTTCATCATCATCCTCTTCTTCATCATCATCATCCTCTTCTTCATCATCATCATCATCCTCATCTTCTTCATCATCATCATCATCCTCATCCTCTTCTTCATCCTCATCATCATCCTCATCCTCTTCTTCTTCTTCATCATCCTCTTCTTCTTCTTCTTCATCATCCTCTTCTTCTTCTTCTTCATCATCCTCTTCTTCTTCTTCTTCATCATCCTCTTCTTCTTCTTCTTCATCATCCTCTTCTTCTTCTTCATCATCATCATCCTCTTCTTCATCTCATCATCCTCTTCATCATCATCCTCATCTTCTTCATCATCATCATCATCATCCTCTTCTTCATCCTCATCCTCCTCTTCTTCATCATCATCCTCATCCTCCTCTTCTTCTTCTTCTTCTTCATCCTCATCCTCTTCTTCATCCTCATCCTCTTCCTCATCCTCTTCTTCTTCATCCTCATCCTCTTCTTCTTCATCCTCATCCTCTTCTTCATCCTCATCTTCATCCTTCATCTTCTTCATCCTCATCCTCTTCTTCATCCTCATCATCCTCATCCTCTTCTTCATCCTCTTTTCTTCATCCTCTTCTTCATCGTCTTCCTCTTCTTCTTTTTCTTCTTTTTGTCTTCCTCTTGCAGGTCACTGCTCATGCGCAGATTTTTTATCGGTAAAAAAATCGGCCGATTTGCCCACTAATTGCCGCGAAAATCGGCCGATCGGCAAAATCGGCCGATTTTTTTCCAACTTTACCGAAAAAAAAAAAACGGCCAAAATACCGAAAAACGGCCGACCAAATCGCCCACTAACGATCCGAAAATCGGCCGATTTTATTTTCGGCCGAAAAATCGGCCGATTTTCGACCCATCTATGGCCTGCATAAGGTTGCGAAGGTCTTGAGAGAGCTCTTTGCTTTTACCCATCATGAGATGATTCTTGTGTGTCACTTTGGTAATGAGATACTTTTTTATAGGCCATCAGTTGAGACTGAACCAGCTGATATTAATTTGCACTGACAAGAGACAGGATTGCTTTCTAATTACTGATATATTTCAGCTGGTGTCCTGGCTTTCCATGCCTTTTTACACCTCCCTTTCTTAATGTTTTTAATGTGTCATTCCATTTTATTTATACATAAAATTAATTTCTGAATTTATTTGTTTTGGTTTCTTTGTATGTATGGATTGAAGTTGTTACAGAATATGGTGAAAATTTAGACACCAGACATTATATACACAGTTATATGATTTTTACCTTTCTGGCCTAATGCTTTAATCCACACCCTGTCTTTCAGCTTGTATTCCTGTGAATGGGTTAATCAGCAATCTCATTTTGTTGCCCTAGAGGCCTAATAACACTGTACCACAAACAGTGCTGCAGACAAGGGGTCTCACAAGAGAGTGTATGATGCTGCTTACTAGCTACGAACAGCCTAGCAATACTGTGCAAAGCAAAGCAATCTCAGACACAGCACACAGAATGTTCCTAATTAAGCAATAATCCCCCCGCAATAAAAGGCTCATAATTACTCAGGAGTTTTAGAAATCACTGAGTGGGTTGCCACAGCAACATACCATTATAATATTAGTCGTATTGCTGCTGTTTTCAAGCACAGAAATGCAACACAGCAGTCTCAGAAAGACTATACAGGCAGTCCCCGGGTTACAAACAAGATAGGTTTGTTCTTAAAAGAGAAGTTTGGGTTGTTTTTCTTTTCTAAATGTATACTTACCTATAAGCAAGTCCCCCTTCAGCTCTAAGTGTGAGAACTCAGTGATCGCATGACTGCTGAGTTCTCACAGCCATTCTGACCAGAGAGCAGTGACTGTCAGTCTGCCACGAACACCACCCCTACACTCACTGGAGCACTGGGCTGTGGAGGGAGAGGGAGCAGCTGGCTCAGGGAGAGGCCAAGCCAGGTGCTGCTCCAGACTCTGGGGTGGATCTCGACTTCAAATTCAGGATCTTTCCCGAGCCTGGACCGGCTGAGTGACATCAGCCACCAGTGGGCTTCAGCCCGCTGTCAGCTGAAAATGGGTCAAAGGAGTGCAGAAAGAAAAGAGCTTTGGCTGTACTTCTCCTTTAATCACTTGCCCTCCAGAGGATTTACCCCCTTTCCTGATCAGGCCATTTTTTGCGTTACGTCGCTACGTTACTTTAACTGACATGCGCGGTCATGCAATGCTGCACCCAAATAAAATTTACGTCTTTTTTTTCCTAGAGCTTTCTTTCCGTGGTATTTGATCGCCTGTGCGTTTAATTTTTGCACTTTAAAAAGACCGACAATTTTGAGCAAAAAGAAACAATATTTTTGACTTTTTGCTATTAAACATTTCCAGTAAAAATTTTTTTTAGAAAAATCAAAGTTAGTCATAAATTTAGGCCAAAATGTATTCTGCTACATGTCTTTGCTAACAAAAAAAAAATCCCAATACATGTGAATTGGTTTACGTGAAAGTTATAGCGTTTACAAATGGCGGTATATATACTGGTATTTTTTAATTTTTACTAGTAATGGCGGCATTCAGGACTTATAGCGTGACTGCGGTGGGAATTCTGACACTGGGGGGAAACTGACTTGGTGTCACTGACATTCCCAGTGACACCAATACAGTGAGTGATAAAAAAAAAAAAAAAAAAAGCACAGACACTGTACGCATGGCACTGGGCAGGAAAGGGTTAACACGAGGGGCGATCAAAGGTTTAACTGTGTGCTGTTTCACTATGTGCTGTGTCCGTGTGCTTCACTGTAAGCACACTGCTTTGGATGGCTGTGCTGTACAGAAAAGACCATAGTGTGATACCGTAATGATTTCCAATCTTAAAAAAATATTTTTTTTTTAATTTTTTTCCAGACCACTTAAAAATTTTTTAAGATTGGAAATCATTACGGTATCACACTATGGTCTTTTCTTCTTCCTGATTTTCTCTGGGGGATTCGGTGAGAGGAGTAACCAGAGGAGGTGTCCATATCCTAGAGGAGGCAATATTTGGAGGTCATATACAAAGTAAAGGGGGTCCAGGAGCCCTTAATATCCCTGAAAGGCGTTTGACTCACCATTATCTGGTGAGTGCGGTTAATGTTGGTTTTGCACTGGTGGATGGTGGAGGTATCACTGGCACGGAAGAATCCAATGAAAATATAATTAATTTTTTCACGGGACTGTTTTTTTGGATTTTGTCACTGGACTTATTTTTTAAACTTAAATTTTTTTTAATATTTTAATTTATATTTTTGTGTCACAGTGTATTTTAAGTTTGTGATATTTAGTAATTATTATTTATGGGTTGGGTGATGCAATTTATTGTTTTGTGGGTTTTGCACTGGTATAAGTTGATATAAGTTTTTTGGTTTTGCACCTGTGTACAGCAGCATCTCACGGAGAATAGTGTGTGGAATAAGAGAATCCTGGGCGCTGAGGTTTTCTCTCTTTTTACATGTTTGGTATCTATTTACTCGACGTAAGATCATCTTTTATTATTTATGAAAATATTGGGCAAGATATTGTGTTTTTATGTATTAAACTTTTTTTTTTTTTTTTTTTTTAAGTATTTTTTCCCAAAATGATTTGCATTTGGAAAAATAAAACAAATTTAAAAAAATAAATAAATAACGCTATGCAAATACTGTGACATAGAAAATTGCAACACCCACCACGATTTTTATTTTCTAGGGTCTCCGCTTTAAAAAATATATATATATAATGTTTGGGGCTTTAAAGTAAGTAGACTGGGTGATGTGTGGCATAAGCTTCTAATGTTGGGCATAAAATGCCAGGACAGTTCAAACAACCCTCAAATGCCCCCTTTTTGGAAAGTAGACACCCCAAGTTATTTGCTAAGAGGCATGGCGAGTATTTTGCAGATCTCATTTGTTGCCACAAGTTTTTGGAAAATGCAGAAAGAAAACTAAAACCAGTTACTCACCGGTAACGCACTTTTTGGGAGTCTTCCAGGACAGCTACTTGAAAGATACAGGCTCCGCCCTCTACAGGTACTCTACCCACAAGCAGGTTCCCCAGGACAAGAGAAATAGCAGTCAACCACAATTACCCGCATCGACAGAAAAATAACAAACCCTAGAGATGTGTTCACCTGGAGGGTCAGAAACACAATAATTACTGAGGACAAGGGGGAGGGAGATGCTTTTTAACTTTTGTCAGTATTGTGTTTCCTGTAGAGGGAAGAACCGATATCTCTCAAGAAGCCATCCTGACATTTCAGGGCTTCTGAAACTGTCATAGGTATTGAGGAAGTGAAATGAGGAAATTACGCCCTTTGAAAGCCTGATGGTGGTCATTGCTCTATGGGCTCCCAAAAAAGTCTCACACGGGGTACACACACACAAAACACACTAAAAATGTCTCAACACATGTATATTGGTTTGTGTGAAAGTTATAAACAGAGCCATGTAGCAGAATACATTTTGATTTAAATTTATAACTAAACTTGAGTTTGATTATTAATATTTTTTTAATAAAGTAGAAAATATTGGGGGGGGTTTTACCAAAATGTTTGTTCTTTTTTTGTTTATATCACAAAAAATGAAAAACCCAGTGGTGATCAAATACCACCAAAAGAATGCTTTATTTGTGTGAAAAAGGACATAAATTTGGTTTGAGTACAGTGTTGCATGACTGCGAAATTACCAGCTGAAATAGTGCAGTGCCGAATAGCAAAAAATGGCCTGGTCAGAAACAGGGGAAAACTTTCAGGGCTGAAGTGCTTAAAGGGTATTAGTATTCATCACAGCTTTATGACATCTATAAATCTCTTGACAATGTGCATTAATAAGGTCACCTGCTAGCTATTCCCAACAGTATGATAATTTACAGCAAGCATAGACTAGCCCACACAAGGGTGACAAGGTGGATTACATACTGCTGAGTTGATTTAATTAACAGCGGGATGGTTTCCTCTGATACAAAACCGATCAGGGAAAATTACTTTTATATTTTAATTTCACACAGTTTATCATTTACTTACCATCCATTGGCCTAACACTGTTCTCTGCATTCTACCTCTCAAATGATACACAATACCTCACAAATAGTAACAGAAAATTTAAATTGCAGCTTACCAAGGGTAGTTCTGTTTAGACTGACTAACCAGCAATGATATCCAAAGAGAAACATAAGGCTCAAGAAGAACATCAAAGCAACAAAAAGAAGGAAAAGGACATGAAATTTTGCACGGTTATTTGCTAGTTCACCCTGTGTAGAAAAAAAAAAAAAAAAAAAAAAAAAAAAAACACACATTTCAGCCTTGGATATATTTTTAAACTTTTTATATTACATATAACTTTTTTTTTTTTTTTATAAATACCCATATCAGTTTTTTGTTATAAACTGGCAAATGGGAAAAAAAAAAACACTAACAAATGTGTAGTTTGATTAATGTGCAATAATTTTGTGTTATGAATATTATTTCAAACATCTAGTACAGGGCCCCAAAATGTGTTTAGGTATTGATACACTTCAGCACTGTATAGTCAATAAGCGTGCATTTATTTTAACTTTCTAGATATTAGACATTTTCATGTACAAAAATAATGATATAAAAGCAGAACTGCGCTTGCCTTTGTGAGATGAATGCATGTAAAGACAGTGCAACCATTTCTAGTTACAAACTGACAACTTATTGAATAATGTTCTACCACAGGACACAGAAAGGAGTGTGCAGTTACAGTTGTGCTCAAAAGTTTACATACCCTGGCAGAAATTGTGAAGTTTTGGCATTGTTACTGAAAATATGACTGATCGTGCCAAAAAATGCTCTTTTATTGAAGGATAATGATCATATGAAGCCATTTATTATCAAATAGTTGTTTGGCTCCTTTTTAAATCATAATGATAACAGAAATCATCCAATGGCCATGATCAAAAGTTTACATACCCTGGAATGTTTGGCCTTGGTACAGACACACAAGGTGACACACATGGGCTAAAATGCCAATTAGAGGTTAATGTCCCACATCTGTGGCTTTTTAAACTGCAATTAGTGTCAGTGTATAAATAGTGTATAACCCAATCAAACACCTATGGGGAATTCTGAAGAGACAAGTTGAGCATCACTCTCCATCCAGCATCCTGGCTCTAAAAGAGATTGTTCTTAAAGAATGGAAAAGATAGATGTTGCAATATGTCGTCAACTTGTTCATTCCATGCCTAGAAGACTCGGTGCTGCCCTTACAAATCATGGAGTTCATACAAAATACTAGATGGAGTAGTTTTTGTTGATGAGTGCATTCATTTTTGCATCAACTAATTTTGAATAAAGCTGAAGATTTTGTAATCTAAGTTATATTAACCTTACTTTCATGTAATGAGCTAAACAATGAGCTATAAAACGTAGTTGTCACATTTTTGGAAATTTTTCTTGTATTCATTGAGATATTGATTAAAATCTTACTTTTCAAAAAGGGTGTACTCATTTATGCTAAGCACTGTATATACTATTACAGGTTGAATCTGGTACATATCGGACAACTTACAATTATGTGCCGCTTTTTGTTGGTCTATCACATAAAATCCCAATAAAATACATTTACGTTTTTGGTTGCAACATGACAAAATGTGGAAAATTTCAAGGGGGATGAATACTTTTTCAAGGTACTATAATATACTGACATGTATGGATGGTGTATTGAGCAGTATGTGTGTTGCACTGTATTCCCTGATATGTAAACAAATAATGTATTCTGTATGAAGACCAACTAATAGATTATAAAAATAGTTGACAACCATTTCCATAATCTATTATAATCTATTACATTGATTAGTTGTTTCAGCTCTTGTCTGAAGCAGCATTACAGGCCTTTCCCACAGCGTAGGGTCCAGGTACAGCTGTCAAGGTGTAAGAATACTCATGCTGTGTCCTTTACTGTATGATTACGATAGTCTGGTTTCCTCTTTTTTTACATGAAGTTCTATATAATACGTAGTTATTAAACTATAACATGCAAGCCCTCCAAAGCTAAGCTCTGTTGTTTTATGATCAACCAGTGCCATGCTAAAAATGTACAAAAATATTTTGTCATAGATGTTGTGTACTGGTTGAGATACATGACCAGAGCATGACAATTAACTTGACAGCAAACTACATGACTCTTTTGAAACAGCCCTAAAGATGCCAAAAGTCACAAAAAAGCTCAAAAAGGGACCATGCAGTATAGTACAGTAAAACACCTACCGACCAGTAAAGCAGGAAGTACTTAAAAACTGTAGAAGCAATGTACAAACAGTACAGCATGGAATATGCCAGGAACAGCAAGAAGAATTTGTAGTTAGAAAATCCAATACAGTTGTTCACCCTGAAATAAAACTGAAATTGTAATTGCACATACAAAATATAATAAAATCAACAAAATATGTTTGTTGGAAGGTAGGAGAAATATAAATATTAAAAAAAATACTATATTAGTAACAAACAGCGCTATGCAATCGTCCAGCACCAAGTCCAGTTCTGGGAAGCATGAAAATGATGCCTTGTAGTGGGGCTGCACCCGCAATTAGTAGCTTATTTGGGTCTATGGGATTTGTTAACCACTTGATTTCTGGAAGACTTTACCAACTTCATGGCCGGGCATTTTTTTTTGCTATTGAGCATTGTGCTACTTTAGCTGGAAATTGCTGAGTCATGCAACACTGTAACCATATGAAATCTATATCATTTCCACACAGATAGACATATAGAGATTTCTTCTTGCGGTACTTAATCGCCACCGGGTTTTTTTTTTATTCTTTTGCTATATAAAAAAACAAAAAAAAAACACACACACTTCTTAGTTTCTGTTATAAAGTTTTGAAAACAAATAATCTACCTTCAGAAATTTAGGCCAACACGTATTTTGCCACATCTCTTCCATAAAATAACCCAAATCATTGTATATTTAGTCTGTGCAAAAGTTAAACTATGGTGTATATATTATTTGAAAATTGATCAGTACTGACTGCCCATCTCATTTTCTCGAGGCCCTAAAATACCCTCCAAATTGTATGGGTTTTTTTTGGGAAAATTAATGATTTTAATTTTTTTTTGCAGTACATCATCATATGACTGGTGAGGCGGAGATCAGGGATACTGACTGGTGACAGTATGTAAAAAGGTATTTAAACAAATAAATAATTGTAAAAAAAAAAAGTTTTAAAAAATGTAATAAAATTGTTACTGTACGTAGTTCAGTGTCACCACAGTGACACTGTACTACTCTGGGAAACGGGAAGATCAGGGATTTTTTTCCTTTTTTTTTTTTTTACACTGATTGCTTGTCACAGTAATCATCACTGTAAAGTAATAGTTTGAACCGTCATTAATGGCTTTCATTATTGACTTATTGTTTACTATTGTGATGCTGTGGTTGGCCACATATCACATAGTCCAGGGTGCTGTGATTGGCCCAGGCACCATTTGATAACAGTTAGCCAATCACAGCATCACAATAGTAAGCAAGCTGTCATGAATGAAAGCCAATTATGACAGTTTTTGCCTATGTGTTATCATGTGATCGCTATGATTGGTCATAATGATTGTCCACCAGACACAGCAGTCACAGATCACGCTGTTGCGGACCTCAGCAGGCCATTGCGCACAGACACTGTGACGTACAGGTATGTCATAATGCCTGAGAAAGCCACCCCCCAGAAGTAAATGTACTGCTGGCAGTCGGCAAGTGGTGTAAAGAAGATTTACTGACCTGATCCTCTACCCTGCTGCTAGACCAGTTCCCACAGCATCTGACATCAGGAGCAATGCAGGTTTGATAGCACTGCATTGGACGTGAAAATGCCAAAGAACAGTCCTCCATTATTGATTCAGCCCTGCCCCCTACTCACAGGATTTGATTGGCGGCAGCAGGAGCCAATGGGTCTAACTGCTGCCTCTGAACAGAGAGAGAGCCGCTGCAGACGGCCACAGCACTGGATCAAGATAGCAAGTATAAGGGGGGAGAGGGAACAATAAAAACACTGGGACAGTTTTACCTTAATACAGGGAATGCATTTAGATAATAAACTATCCAGGCTTTAAATGTTTGAAAGCACCATTTTTTTTTTTTTAAGGTATCATTTAATTGATTAAAAATGTAGTCAAGTTTCAAGGGATAACTAGTGTTGCAAATGGCTATAACTGCTTAAAATAACTAATGCAAAATGTATTTATATAAAACTTCGATGACCAAATTTTAGCAGCTATTACCTTAGTGTCCTAATGGTGAATTATTTTAGTTCATACTTAATCACGTGTAAATAATTGTTTTTTAATTGCATTAGTAATTCTAAAACCTTTTTTTAATATGCTCATAAAAGCATGCAAAATCTTTTGTTGGTGTAAGAGGAACCCACTAGAAGATTGTGAAAGGAGTCTAGGTTATCCCCCGGGAAGCCTCTTGTGTCCGAGGAAAGTACTGAAAAAGCAAGTTTGAGGAAAGAATGCTGTGCTGTGCAAACCTAAAACTGAAGTAATTAAAGGCAATTATTCCTTGGCTGTGATAATTTTTGATAAAGGAGGCAGCTGCCTTTAAAACAGGGAAGAGAATAGACACTGAATAGCTGGTTATTGGACTGAAGAATACATCTGAATCAAGGAAAAGAAAAGATGTCCAGAATTCATCCGTCCATAAAGCTCTTTTGCATTCATCCACCAACTAGTGTCTGTTCATTCCCCTTTAATTTTTCTTTTTATATTGCCATAATATTACTTTTTGTTGTGTTTTTTTTGTTCATTTATTACTGCCTCTAAGGTCAGCATCCTGAAAGTAGTTGTAAAGCCTAAACATTTTACCTTAAGCACTTGCTGACCCACCACAGTAAATGTACTGTGGCGGGGCAGCACGTGCAAACACATCATTGACATCATGTCTGTTATTGTGCCTGCTCCAGGTTAGGGGCATGCAGCGTACCCTGCCTATGACCGCTGTATAAGGTTAAAAAAGTAAAAAAAAAATTTATTTTTCCAATCAATTTTTAAACATACTGTCACTAGTCAGTGCCCCTAATCACCCCCACACCAGTGATAATGATGGCAAAATGTTTGGTCTTTTTTGTTTGTATAGCAAAAAGTTAAAAACCCAGTGCCCTGGTCAAGAAGGGGGTAAAACCTTCCAGAGCTCATGTGGTTAAAGAATATGTAAAACCATCACCTTGTAAAACAACCCATTCAGCTTAAAATAGAAATGAAAAGGCAAAAGGTATACACAGTGGGGATCGAAAGTTTGGGCACCCCAGCTAAAAATTTGTATTAATGTGCATAAAGAAGCCAAGGAAAGATGGAAAAATCTCCAAAAGGCATCAAGTTACAGATTAGACATTCTTATAATATGTCAACAAAAGTTAGATTTTATTTCCATCATTTACACTTTCAAAATAACAGAAAACAAAAAAATGGCGTCTGCAAAAGTTTGGGCACCCTGCAGAATTTATAGCATGCACTGCCCCCTTTGCCAAGCTGAGACCTGCCAGTGTCATGGATTGTTCTCAATCATCGTCTGGGAAGACCAGGTGATGTCCCTAGAGGCCAGCGCATGCTCCAAACATGTCACATTTCATTCTTGTCACTGACGTCATCACGCCTACACCGACGTGGTGGTTCAGCGTGCGTTCCAGCCATCATCTTGAGGAGTACGTGCATGCCGGCCGGCTCCACATCTGTCTCCCTCCTGCTACCACGCTCCCCACCATTGAGACATGGACGTACTAGGCACCAGTGACAGCCGTTCTATACGGTGTTTCTACACCATAAACCTAACATGCTTGTATAACTCTACTATCATTGCAGAGCTATTTATTTGTAGAGCCCATCCGATCCAGTCATCCATAACTATCCAGAGAGGGGAGTTCCTTAAAGCAGGCACCTACACCCGTCTATCCCTTAAAGGGATCTCTGGCCAGCTGGATCCCGTATCTTCTTGTGAGCTCCTGACTGCACCACCTTGCCTAGAGGGAGGATTATCCTGGATTAGGATCATATCCAACTCCTAAAGGGGACCTCTACAGATTTATTCAATGTGTATATACTTTACGCATCTGGTGAGTGCGTAATTTTACCACACTAATTGGAGCACCAATATTGGATTTTGCTGCTAATGTTCACCCAAATCTGCACAGACTGTCACCTTGTAATTTGATTACCTTGATTTTTGATTACGGACAATAGCAATATATTTATGTTTTAGCGCTGCACGTTTTAATTTTAGTATGATTTTCTGAAGGTTTTTACTGGTTGCCTTTGGTGCTTTAGCTGCTGAGTAGAGAGCACTCACTTTTCCTTTATATTCTTACAGGTTTTATAGAGGTCTGTGTCCTCATTAGGGAGATTCACCCAGTTTGGCCTGTTCACCCATATCAAAAAAAAAAAAAAAAACACACACACACCCTGGCCCCTGAAATAGAAATTGCTTTTCCAGGATTCTCTTTCTTCCTTTTTCCACCTTTCCTACTTAACCTCTTCTTCTCTCCCCTTTCTCTGCCACCTTTCCTATTCCTCACCTGTACCGTTTTATAAAGCTCTGCAATGTATCCCTTGCAGTTTCATTATTATCTGGCCATTACACCTTGTCCATTAGGTTGCATGCCCTGATTGGGTTACTGTGGCATCCAGGGCCCCTTTGGCGACCCCAGTAGTTTTTTATTTCTGCCCTATTAAACATAGTTGCATTCCTATGTTGCAATTCATCTGTATGTGTCAGAGGTTCTCTCCGCCACCTCTTTTTGAGACTATGTTTTTGGTAATAGTCGCATGATATACAGTCTGATATTTCTTGAGTGCTCATTGTTGCTGTGCAGACTTTATTGTATAGCTACTGATTTTGAATACCTGCCTATTTTTGTGACCTTATTATGCACAACACCCCCCACACACACACACACCCACCCCCCCCCCCCCCCCCCCCCCCCCGATGGGTTATAGCCGTCTTTTACTCTTTCCAAAAAGAGGAAGAAAAAGAAAAAGTTCTGCCTTTAGTAACACTTTAAGCATGCAGCTGGACAAAGATCCAAAACCCACTTCTAAGCCATCAAATCATGAACATGGAAAAAAAAAAAACAAAAAAAAAAAAAAAAAAAAAAAAAAAAAAAAAAAAAAAATGCAGTCTCATGTACTCTTTGGCACTATTGGTAGTCCTCAAACAGCTTTACACCTTAAAGTGGTAATATAACTCATGGACTGTAGGCTGGAAACCATTGTGAGCAGATGTGCCAACAGCGTTTTCCTTTCATCTTGAATTTACCATCCAGCGACAGCACATTACAACCTGGCACCCGCATATTTATGTACAAGGAGACCTCCACTGCTTATTTACAGTTTTTCCTGACTTTCTGGCAAACTAACCTTGATGAAGAGGAATAAAGACGATACACCTCAGGCTGAACAACATGTTCACGATCTACTCGTCGACCATACCATCTGGGTTGCCAACCCCAGATTTAAGATATGTACTGTATAACACACACACACTTTTGTGTCTTTTATTTTACCACAATATAAAATATCTTAGTACCACCAACTCTGACTGATCTGTTAGATATCCTGTATACCCTATATACTAAAATATGCTTTCCTCTGTAGCAATCTCCTTCATTTGACAATCTGTGATTTCTGGGTATTAATGGATTTTCCAAATCAAGTCAGATTGGCAGAAACAAAAAAATTCTCACAGCAGGAAAGGAGGAAAGAAAATTAAAAGGAGGAAGAAAAATTTAGGAAGGTCTCATTTAAAAGCTATGTAAAGTATTTAAAAGGAAAGGAGAAGAAACATTGTGCCTTTTAATGGTGAATTAAACCTATTGTTTTGTGCATTACACCTACAGCTCTGTATAACAGGAGGTTATAAACAACATAACATTGTGACTATTCACCAAAGGTAAACACATCACTGGATATCTGACAAATTATTAATGATCATGTAATGTGCAGGACCTACAAGATGTGCATCAAGTTGCACATTCTAATTAACAATGTAAACTGGAAACAGGTTTTTCCTTCAATGTAATGTATCACACCAACACCATTCCAAGAAAGACCTTGTCTTATATATTTTTTTAAAAGGTTTGAAGTCCAGGATGACTGTTGCCCAAAATTGAGCAAAGTGAACAGCACTGGCAGTCTAGTTCGAAGGCCGCAAGCACTTTCCCAGGATAAGGATAACACAACTACTAGCAGTGCTTAAATAGTCTCCTTTAAAACAGTTTTCAGAAAATTGCATTTCTTGTGTGGTGAGTGGATCTATTACTCCAATATTCTACTCTGGAAGATGAGAACATTTAATTAATTCTGTTCCTGCCCCATTCCAGGTAGGCAGCTCCTAAGTGCACCACCAAACCACTGTCATTGTTCACAGCTTGTAGGACTGAGTCATCCATGTGCTATAGAGAACTGGGAATTTATTTTAAGTTTTAAAAGGTTTTGTCATACAACAGGTTTAGCCACAATCCTGGTGTTCTAGATTAAGAAGCCTAATAAGCATGTTCTGATCTCTTAAGAGATTTTGATATGCTGTCAGTGTAGAGAATGACAATTGTTAACCTAAGTCACAAAGACCATTACTTCCAGCAGCAAGAGCCAAGGGGAGGTCAAGATAACAGTCATGTGGCTAAAATTTAATTTTACAGCAATTAACTCTTGAGCTATACAGTATAATTGTTGGAACAATAATAAATACACTGATGTTTCGAGTAGATTTTAAAATTGGGATCATTTTAAAACATAGAAATCCAATTTATAATACATTTTGCAGAGAATAGCATGTGTTTATGCATGCGTGATCATAATTGTTTTTGATTGTGACAGTTATTCAGTACTTTCAGTAATATGGATATCTTCAAAGGAACTTTCGGAGACAGACCAGTATTTGCCACTATTTTTGTGTGTGGGTAAGCAAAATCTTTAGGTTACAGGTTTTGCTAGGGAAACACTGCAGGCAATCACATGCTTAGGTCATTGACACATTGGAGGGGGGGGGGGTGTTTACTTAAAACTGGAGAGTGCAAAATCTGGGAGCAGCTGTGCACAGTAGCCAATCTGCTTCTTACTTCACCTTGTTCAATGAAGCTTTGACAATACAACTTGGAAGCCGATTGGTTTCTATGCAGAGCTACACCAGATTTTTCCAGTTTTAGTAAATCAACCTCCCATACAGTATACATACCATGGTAAATATTTTACCTGTATTTGATGTTGAGAAATGTTCACTTATCTATTAGCCACTGCTGGTCTAGTGTTTCAATTACACATTAACCACCCAAAGCCCTGCCCACAACCCCAAAACATGCCTTTTCACTGCAGATCATGAAATCTTCGTTGTAGAAAAAAAAAAATACAACTTATCCAGGCCTAAAATTATCCATACATTATTCTTAGGATGAGCCTGGCAGGATAGACATGACAGCTGCCATTCCTAACTTAAGCCTTAAGAAAGCTCCAGGATTGTCATCCTCTGCAAATTAGACCTGAAAAAAGCATTCAGCCAGACTAGTGCCAGGCCAACTGACAGACACACACTTGTTCCAGGTCACTGACTCACCACGTAGTGAAAGTAAAAAGTGTGAACATACACTCAAAAGCATCCACCCTGTCCAGTTTCTTTTAATCCTCACAAGTATCTGTAACCACAAATTGGCCATAATGCTCCCTTTGCAGAAATACTTGAAATTAAAAAGTTATACATTGTATAGATTGAACTAATTTGACATACAGCTTGCGACATATTAAAATGTTAAACGTAAAGCTGTCATAATGTATAGGGGATGCCACTTCTTATCTACTGCCGAAAACCCCAGCTGCCCATGAGTTATGCTGACAGACTTACTTTTCCTTACACAAAACAAATATGGAGATCAGAAAAAAAAAAAATGAACAAGAGGATGAGCATTATGGCCAGACAGCTAGCATTTTCAGGTGTGGAGCTCAGAACTGCTGAAGTAATGATGGATGGATGGCAATGGACAAATATATCCACCTAAAGCTTAGAATCAAAAAAAAATTATTGTGGTAATTGTTCCCTCACCCCTTCTCCCTGTGATGTCAATTCAACAACATTGAAGAGATGTCCCATCACTACCTGTTCTGACAGAAAGTATAGGGATGGATCTCTAATAATAACCCGGCAGAGGCTTTAACATTCCCACTCTAAAACTAGAACTAAGACATAATATAAAACTAAATAGAAGGTTTTGTTTGGAGCTGAGCTTTAATGGTGGAAGCTTCAGTGTTGGGTGGCATTTTCTTTGCAAAGTGCACAATGCAAACATTATTCCAGATACATACCATGGGCAATGATGGTCCATCTTTAGGACGCACCTATGACAAAAAGAGGCAGAAGATCAAACACACCAGTAGCAGAAACATTTCCTGAGGGAAAGATTGAGACTGCCATTGCAACTTCTGATTCTTCAAATGTTAGTTGCCTGACTGTATAAACAATCTCTGCCTTCAATACTCTACATCAGAACAAGTATACAGATCAAGAATTTTATCTTTGTTTTAAATTTCTTGATCTGCATACTTGCTCTGAAGCTAATGGAGAAATATAATAGCAAGGAAAGCAACATTTTCAGAAAAAGGTCAGCAATATTCACCATATTTTTCTCAAAAGCTTAAAGACGTGAAAAGTTACATTTTGTGAAGCCAGATACAGGGGGAAAACTGCAAAGGAATTTTTTTTAGGCATGGAATGGGCAGTTAAAGTGGTATTAAAATATTCGGCTTTTAAAATCAAACAAGCACCACTATGTGATGCTTACCTGCTCTGTGCAGTGGTTTTGCACAGAGCAGCCCAATCCTCTTCTTTTAGTCTTCCCTGCCACCGATCCTGACTCCTCCCCCCTGGACCAGTGCCCCCAATAGCAAGCCGCTTGCTATGGGGGCTTGCTATGGGGGCACTGGTGCGTGCTCACTCCTGAGCCCAGCTCTACATATCCATAAGACAGAGCCACGGCTTGGGCCGCACCCTCTCACTGGCTGTGATTGACAGCACTGGGAGCCAATGGCTCCCACTGTTGTCTCAGCCAATGAGGAGAGGGAGTCACAGGACAGCCAAAGCTCTTCTGCACATCGCTGGATCAAGAGGGGACTCCTCAGGTAATATTAGAAGGGCTGTGGGGGGGGGGGGGGGGGGACAGCACACAAAAGGTTTCCATGTGGAGGAAACCTATTCTAAATGTGGCGGATCTTCCAACTGACGTTTGGCAGCAAAACAAACTGCAGAAAAATTAGCAAATTGCCACATGTACGCCTCTTAGAAAGAATATGGTTTGGCAATGCAGTCTTTTTTTTTTAGTCTTGGCTTTTGTTGAAAGAAACTTGTACTAAAGGATAAAAAGAATGCCATTGTTGATCTCTTCTTCTGAAAAATGCCAGTTGTCAAGTTGATTTTTTTAATATGGATGCACAAATCTGGAGCAAGTGTGTAGATCAGTAGTTCTGAATTTAACTTTATATACTTCATGTTTGTTCATAGTACCCTTAGTAGGTGGACAACAACGTTACTACCCATATTTCCCTCAGTACAAGTTTCCTTTAAGGTGAGCATCAAAGTCCTACTGAGGGTATCACTAAACCAGATGTCAGTCTAAAACAACATCTAGTCCTGTAAAATAAGTGCTAGACATATCAAATTATTCAGCATGTATAAGTGCGTTTAGCCACAAGACGGAATATAAAGAATAGTAAAGGGAACCTTTCAGCTACATCCATGTACCCACCTAACAGTACTGCCAACATGCAGGTACTTTGCATCTTTGGTGCACAGAATTGCTTAGATGATTGCCAAATTGTATCTTGGGCTAGTTACCACACACAAAGCCTGGACTTATGCCTGCATGGAAGCTGTACGGTTTAACAGTTAAAAAAAGCCTTTGGTGTTGTATTGTTTAAAGCAGAACTAAAAGGCAAAATTTTTTTTTATAGCGTATAGGGAGGGACACCTGTCAGTTTTTTTTTGCCATCTGTGTGTCATTAGGAATATTCCCTTCCAATAACAAAAACAAGACATTTCCCCAAACTTAGGAAATATTTAGCTGTCACCAGAACTATTGTCGACATTGGAAGTTTTCCCCTCTATTCGTGTTCTGGTGACAATCCAAAATTTGGGATTTTCATTTTCACGGTTAATGCTAAAGAGGGCAAAAGAGAGAGAGAGTGAAACCCCCTAACTGGGCCACAGACCATATTAACAACCTGACAGGTGTTCTAATCTCTCTCCACCATATCCAAAAATAAATACATTTTGCCTTTAGATATATTTTAAAGCTCTGTATACAAACTACAATCTGATTATACAATCTCCTTTAGCTCTACTAACAACGTTGGGACCTGCCTGACAGGACACAAAATTTAGGTCCTCGTATTTCATAGTTTTTGGTAAATCTGAAGATGATTGTACAAAGATTGTACAGTCTGATTGTAATGTCTATAGTGACCCTAATAGTGCAGAAGGAAAGGAAGACGGGGCATAACTTTATGTCAGCAAGCTGTCGAAGCCCTGCATGTAGTATGCTAACACAGAGAGGCTCGCCAGGACCACAGAAGAGTCAGAGGATTACCAAAGGATACTACAGACACCACAAGGCACACCGTAATGTGGCTGTGTTGTCATATATGTCTAACATTGATGCAACTGAGTTTTACTATCATTAAATCAAACCTATGAACAACTGCATTCCAGCAACAAGAACTTTGAAAAGTAGATTTCATAGCTCATAAAGAATGATTTAAAGGACATTTCAACAAAAAATAAATGCAATTTTTTTGCAGGTAAAAAAATAAATATTGTGCATTTATTAATTGTTTTGTTGTAGGAGCCTGTAAAGCATTGCGCCAGCGATCAGAAGATAGCTGATGCCATGCAGGACTCCTGCAGACTTGCCATTGTATCTGCTTACTTGTACCTTTTACAGGCAAGCCGATACTTACTGACAAGAAGAATCATTGAATTACCACAGTGCTACCACAGATAGTTAATTGAGAACTGCAAGCGGACAGCCGCCAAGTTTCTCATTTACACTGTGAATGAGTGATGCGGCCAGGCAGGAGAAGCACCACACAGATGATTCCCCCCCCCCCCCCATTTTGACAGCTAGCAGGGGGAGAAGATCCCCAGCTAGCCATCAAAATGGGGAATCAGGGGTCAGTCATTCCATAACATGTTACACCCTGAATATGGGTGTAACATGTTATGAAAAGGAACTTATCCTTTAATTCAGACCAATCATTAAAAGAATAAACAACAGTTATATTGTAATAAAATGCACAGGCACAAAGAACAACGAAATGGTTGTAAGAAACTTACATCCCACACACAGAGCAGTGATGGCAGCGATCAGGCTTCACCACCTGGCACCGATCACAGAAACGAATTGCTGAAATATATATAGCAGTATAGGTCAGAATCAAGTGCAGTTTATCGTCAATCTTGGACATATGGCTATGTTTACATAATTACAGAGGTAAACACTCATCTACATCAGTAAAGCAAGGTTAAAGAGGCCATGCTATACACTGTATTTGCCTCACACCCTTGTACTCCGTGCAGGTCTGTTTTCATACATTTTTGTTATAAGTGATTGTAAACCTTTGAAATGAATAATGAACAAAATATATATATCTATAATGTGTACTTGCCTAAATCCAAAGCACAGTGTAGTTCCTACCTGTTCTCTCCTTCTGCTATTTACACAAGTGATTTCTGACAAGTTATGCCTACACCACAGAATCCCAAGGGATAGCTCGCACCCCCTCCTGTACACAGAAAGTGTCACACTACACATAAAAGATGGCTTTTGCTCAACATCTCAAACCCAAAGTATCTGAAACAAGGAATCTCATTTGTGAATAAAAATTGACAGAGATCATTGACAGCAATAGCAAACCTTTATTGATTAAAATGACACATAAAACACAACATTAACCCAATATAAAAGATATGGGTCAGAGGTGGTGACCAACCCAATATCCATATAATTCAAAGATATGGACTGGTCAGAAAAGAGGTGGTGAGCTGCCATTGGATCCATTGCTCATTTTTGTGTGATGATATGATGGATAAGCCATAAAGGATCCAAAATGTAATGGAGGACAAGAAATAGACTGGTGGACATAGAAATGACCAAATAGTAATTTCACTAAATCAAATCGCATTGAGCCATCCTTAATGCATGTATATGGTTTGTAGAGTGTCCCAGAATCCCAAGGGATAACCTTGAACCCCCTCCAGTACACAGAAAGAGATCGACAGCCTCGGCTGTGCAAGGCTTCCTTTGAGACTATGTAGGGGTGTGTGGGGGGGTGTCCTTTCCCTCCACTCAGGTCGCAGATTACATTTCAAACTCTATGCTGTGCTTTGTGATTTGGCAGATCCCAGCCCTCTGCCTTCTAGAGCTGGCAAATGTTGTGACAATTCTGTACTTTGAATGGCTAAAGAGAAGAGAGGGCTGCATATAAACAGGTACAAAGTATGTAGGAGGATTTGTTTCATTTCTGTGTATCATCTGAGGCTAGACACTTCAGTGGGTACATGTAAGGGTTTACAACCACTTAAAGTCAGGTTTTAACACACAATAACTATTTTGCGTTGTCTTGCACGATTGTTTTGGCTTTGTTTCTTTTACCTCAAAAGCGGAGTTCCATGTATTGCTATTTTTGCATTGTTACACTGGTCCAGTTAGGACCAATAAAACTTTGCATGTGCCACATCTGCGCAATACCAGTGGAAGCTGGATATCACTACAGTAGGTACCACCGATTGTCACTAGCTTTCGGGCCCCATGTCGCACAATAAACACAGGAAGTCACTCGTTCAAAGGGCGTCATTCACAGAACACTTAGCATTGTTCTTAATGAATGCAAAGCCTTCTCTGATTGGATGAAGGGGAGAGGTGTTGCAGTGATCTTATGATTGTCACCATGTCCAATTAGAGAACGCTTTGAATTCATCGAGACAACGCAGAGTTCTCTGAATTGTGCCCATGCTGAGCAAGTGACCTCCTGTTTTCACTAAGCAGAAAAGCAGCTGCTTAGCACGGGACCTGAAAGCTAGCAGCAATCACTGTGTAACCATGCAAAAATAGTCATACCTGAAATTCAGCTTCAGGGTAAAGGAAAAATCCTGCTAGGCAATGCATAGTAAAGTGGTTGTAAACGCAGATGATTTTTTACCCTAATGCATTCCCAGCAGTTGTATTGCCCACTCACTCCCCTTATACTTACCCGAGTCCTATTTCGATCCTGCATTGTGTTCCATCTGCAACGGCACTCCCCTCCCTCTCCTCACAGGGTATGGAGGTAGCAGTGGGAGCCACTGGCACCTGCTGCCGCCACTGGCACCTGCTGCCATCAATCAAATCCTATCACAAGGAAGCAGCTTCCATGGGGGATACACAGAGAACAGGAGGAGCTGAGACAGAAGAGGAATTTCGGAGCCACTCTGTGCAATACCATTGCACAGAGCAGGCAAGTATAACATGTTTAAATACAAAAAAAAAAAAAAAAAAAAAAAAGCATTATTTACAATCCCTGTAATCACTGTGGTAAAAACTGACATTAAACAAAAAAATGTATGAAAGAAGAAATGCAAGCAGTAGAAAAGTGTGAACAGGTTCTTAGGTTGGTCTCAACAAGAGTGAAGGTCGATGAAAGATCTGTCAGCAGTCATTTCACTAGCCACATCATCCCCTCCTGGTCTCAGCAAATACAGTGCATGGAAAAAGATTCATATGACTGATAAGGAACAATATACTATACTGAAAAAATTAATTAAATAAATAAAAACACATTGTGAGCAAAAAAGCTCTTTACTGCAGAAGAGGCATGCTGTAGTAAATAAACAATACACAAACTAACCTGCTTGTCCCCAATCTTCTTTAGAATGTACATGGAGATGTGCAAGCACAGCTCAGTTTGAATTCTCTGCATACCTCAACGCCAGAATGAATTCTCGTGCACACATGTGGGCTTGCATCATTCTGGCCCAGCCAATCAAGCTGGCTGAAAATCCCAAACCCAGAAGAAAATTGAGCAAAGATTCTGTGCTCCTTCATACTGGCCAATAAGGCAAGGAAGGAAAATAGTAGCTGAATTTTGAGAGTTTGAATTTGACTGGCCGCTACTAGGCAACATAGTGGATCATTATCGCAGATAGTTTCCAAAATATGTGCTTGGCTAACCTCCATTTGCTGTCCGGGTATAAAACGGGTAGCTTCTTTGCAAACTCAGCAAGTATTTGCCTCTGAACCTCTGGGCGCTCCTCACTGTCATATCGCTCCTTTTCAGCATAAGGCAGCAAAAACTGAAAGCACAAGTATGAATTCAGTCATACAACTATACATCTCTTAATAGGAATACAGTAAACTACTTTGGCTCAAGTTTATGAGCCTCCATAAACTAGTTACAACTATCCTATTATTTAACTTTAATTGGACTATAATTGCCTGTGGTACATAGAGTCATAAATATGCATTATGCATTCTTATTTAATGGTAAAAGAGGTTGTTAAAGCAACAATTATCCATGGCAGTGCATTCTTTTCTTCCCAGTTTCACAACAGAACTCTGGCCTAAAATGTTTTAAAGGGTATGTAAACCGCAACAATGTGCTACAGGCGTACAATACCCTAGAAATATTAATACAATATCGCTGCAGCCTTCAATTTTAAATGTACTTAAAATATGTAACACAATATAAGAATAAAAAAAAAGCACTGCAAACATAAGATGTGCTTTATATTAAATAAGCACCAATGCAAAACCAGTGGCCAGGGGTATGACAAATAAAGATCAGTCCATCCTGCCACAGTTCTAAATAAACTTGAAAGTTAAGACTTTCCACCATGAATGAAAAGTGCTCCAGTATGCAAATAGAAAGTTCAGCTTTCCACTGTGAAAGAAAAGTGCTCCAGCACTCAAAGATTAGTCCATCCTGCAACAGTTTTAAATACATTTCAGGAAAGCGCTATTTCTCCACAGTGAATAAAAAGTCGGAAGCGATGAAACGCTGGGGCCCTGGTTGAGCAGCTACAAGATGCAACATCAGCAACAGTGCCTGAAGTGATGTATGAGAAGCAGATAAATGGGTGAGCCCGAGGTTTAATATTCCTTCTGGCACAACACATCATTCAGGCAGAGTTACACTTCCAGACCAGGCCTTTTCTGGCACCTTTTTGTTTACATGTAACAATCAAAATTTTTTTTGCTAGAAAATTACTTAGAAACCACAAACATTTTTTTTTTTTTTTACACATAGGCCCTAAAGAGGCGCGCACACACACACACAACACACACACACACACACACTTTCGACACACACACACAACACACAAAAACACACACAATAATAACACATAATAATAATGCAAAAAAATAATAATAATAATACCACGTTACATAACCCAATATTGTAAAATACCAGATGATGTTACGCTGAGAAGACACCAAATATATAATGCTTTAAAATTGTGGCCGCCCATGCAACAGTGACAAACTATGTTAATTTTACTATCCATAGGTGAAGTTTTAAAAGCCTTTACAGGTTACCACTATTTACAAAGGAGGTCTGGTGCTAGAATGACTGCCCATGATCTGACGTTCACAGTGATACCTCACATGTGTGGGATGATCTCTGTTTGCATATGTGTGGAACCGATGAGTGTGTTTGCCTTTGCACGCAAGCACAGGGGGATGGGGGCACATCAGGGCCGGATCTAGCCTGTCTGATGTAGGGGTGCAGTAAAAAAAAAAATGTACAGTGGCAGGTTAGGGCGGTACGGTGGCAGGTTACGGCAGTACAGTGGCAGGTTAGGGTAGTAGAGTGCTAGACTAGGGCAGTATGTGGTGTCATGGTGTTACCTCATGGCTTGAAATCAACCACAGTGAAGGGGTCTGTGAGAGTAGAGGTGACCACTACACCTCCGGCTTCGCCCACCAACTCCAGCTGCCTCGGGAGTCATTGTAGATCCCCGTTGGACAACCTAAGCAGATTAGATGACTAGGGAGTGTTATAGACAGCCTCCCCCACCCTGCTGGGCTCCCTCCCTGCACAGCCAATCATCAATGTATTTACAAAGCTGCAGACAGGGGAAATGCAGCTGTCTGAATCAATGGTTCAGCGGCAAGGCACAGTGTCCAGCATGGAGGAGGGCAGCTGCTGGCTTTGGGGGAACATGAGTGAAATCTGGGGGAGGGGGCGTAGCCCACCTCTGCACCCCTCTAGATCCGGCCATGGGGCACTTTAATTTTTTTTTTTTTAATTACTGGTTCTAATTTTTTATTTATTTTTTTAAATCACTTTTATTGCTGTCACAAGGAATGTAAAAAACACGCTGCAAGCATGTGTGCGCAAATCTCACTGGTGCCATGCTGTGCAGGTTTTGCTGGTGGTACAGTTACATTAGTAAATGCTAAACAAGTGCATGTGTGCGTTTTAGGTATAACTGGATGTCTGTAAGCTGAAAGAGCCACTAACTTCTTGGGCACTCAAGCAGCAAGATTTAAACACTGAACTTCCAGGTACTGTATTACCCATGCTACAGAGGTTCATTCTTACTGCTGCTTTCAGTACAAAAAAAATGGGCATGCAGAGTGGGAATGAAAAAGCTGCATCTGGTAGAGACAACTGAAAACCATGGCAGTGGGTTCTCTGCACATGAGATATGAAGCTGATGGATGTGTCACCTTTTTGACATTGATCCCATATTTAATTATGCATTTACTGACCCTTTAGATTTAAATAGTGTATCTATAGAAGATTCCCACCTTTTTTGTTGGCTCTTTAGGAGGAGTAAAAATTGCTTTCCAGTATGTCCAAATAAAGAGTAAAAACATTATATGAAATATGAAGAGGTATAAAGCTGTGGAGAGAGGAAATAGAGGATACAAAAAAAAATACATATTAGTACAAAAATATTTTCACCATATATACCCAAATTATATTTTAAAAAACACTAAAATGTAATGCCAAAAGTGATAATTCATTTGTGGGTGGATATAGTATGCTGAAATACAGACTAGCTGTTACTACTTCCCTGGGTACTGTAGCAGTGAGATTTCCTGCTCATACCTCAGCGCAATTCAGTCTCACTCTAGTTGCTGCAGTCTCTATATTAAATGGCAAGACGGGAAGACAGATGGATACCACCCCTTCATAATGAATAAAGCAAATGGACAGGGTTATGAATTCTGGGGTAACAAAGTTTTGCTACAAGAATTCATAAAATATACAAAACACACTGGCAGGTATTTTAAAGACCAGATCGGCTGTGCTCGGTTTCATTATATAGTAAACCAAAAGCAATGACCTGACATTACTTCTGATTTACTCAGAAATACACAGCGCCATTTTTAAAAAATAAAATGCATTCAATCTCACCGATCTTGGTGTGACTGAATGCTTTTCACATTCAAAAAAACAACTATTGGAATTTGCTGCAATGTACTCATTTAGCATACAAAACCTTACTGAGGTAAATGTAAGCCAATTGAGCATGTTCGCAAACTGACTAAAGCAAGTAAAAGGGAAACAATTACAGGTAGTAGTTATAGCGAACAAGTATCCAAGCATAAACATGTATCATACAGATATATATATATTATCAGGTCCAGCAATCAAATATGGATTCCCAGAAACAATAATGAAAGACGTGGTTAGCACTTCCGCCTGGCAGTACTAGGGTCGTTGGTTCGAATCCCAACCATCACCTGCCTGGAGTTTACATGTTCTCCCTGTGCCTGCGTGGGTTTCCTCCGGGTACTCCGGTTTCCTCCAACACTCCAAAGACATGCTGGTAGGTTAATTGGCCCCTGTCTAAATTGTCCCTAGTATGTGTATGTATGATTGGGAGTTAGGGACCTTAGATTGTACGCCCCTTGAGGGTTAGGGACTGATGTGATTGTATAATATATATGTAAAGCGCTGCGTAAATTGACGGCGCTATATAAGTACCTGAAATAAATAATAAATAATCTCAAACACATGTGGCTGGCACTGCTAACCATCTGTCCCATGCCTTATTGTATTTAGTAGGACATCCTCTGTGGATGTAAATACATTTCTTTTATAGGAAAGAGTGAGGTTCAGCTCACGTACCCAGGACTCAAGTGTGGTAGGGGATGGCTGCATTCAGTTTTTGGCAATAATCTTACGGGCCGTAAATAATGTTTCATGAAGAAATATGGTTTGAAATATATCTGTGTCAGGGCCCGAGAAAAGGCCCAACAGACATGGTTTGGGATCTAGAGATAACGGGGTGCCTACGTGTAAGAAACGAACAACCTGAACACAGATAATGATAAAAAAATTATTTAAAAAATGCCTGTTTGTGACATGCATAGGGGACATAATGGGCTGCGGGGGGCTTGTAGCAGAAACTGGAGGTCATGTAAGCATTTTGAAGTATGCATTTGAGTTGAGCGAACCAAGACCTTTGGGGATACCAGCTTATGATCGTCTAGATTTTCCTCCCAGTCAACATTCTCAAATTTCCCCTGGTCATGCTCCCATTTGGTTTTGACACGGCAGGCCAATCGGGTTGCAGAAGGGGTCAACAATATGATATAAAGTTTTGTACCTCCTCAAATCTGTGTTGACAAAATGTCCACCAGACACAGTCGATGGCAGATCACTGTACCAGCCTGCTGCTGGTACCATGTGATCACTGTGACCAATCACAGCAGATCAAATGACAATTGTAAACAATTAATGGTTTCTTTTCATGCCAATCATGGTGTACAACTGTGTTGCTAGTTGCGATTGGTCACAGTGATCACACTTGTTATATGATGATGCTGTATAGCACTGGTAATCGTATGTAAAAAAAAAAATATATATATATATATAAAAAAATTTCCAGTCTTTTTTAGTTTATATAGCAAAAACAAAAAAATCACCACCCAGTGGTGACTTAATCCCACCATAAGAAACCTATATTTGTGAGAAAAAAAAGAAATATAAAAATTTAATTTGGGTATATTGTTGCATGACCGCACAATTGTTATTCAAAATGCACATCACTGAAAGCTGAAAATTGGCTTGGGCAGGAAGGGGGTGAAAGTGCGTGGTATCGAAATAGTCACTAACTGCATACAGCACTATCTTGTACAGTACGTACAAGTTACAGTATTGTAATATGGAGCATCTAATGCAACATAATATTTCTAAAGCAGCTGATAGAACATTCATTGCAGGGTGACTCTTCCTGCTGAAAGTGTTTAAATTTGTTTAAGTTTGTTAAAGAAGAAAAAAAAAAAATCACAATCATTGCTCCATAAATATGCCCCTAATGGTTAGAGAACATAAATACTCTTTTTCAATTAAAGGGGCTTTTTAGATTACTGCAGATTTATCTAATCCGCACATTAACCAAGAATTACATTCTTAGTACATGTACAAGAGTTGGCTGCTCAAGCAAAGCTGTGTCCCTTCTAGGTTTAGTCATAATGTGGTTTTCTCCCCTATACACTGCTAGATTATAATGATTACTCATGATAAAAAACTACTTTTATGGTATGATGTAGAGCAGTGTTCCTCAACCTTTTTACCTCAAAGAAATTCTTGAAATATTTTTTTAGGTCTCAGGGAACACCTACTAAAAACAGATTGTACCTACAGCTCATGGTACATAAGTGTGATCAATAAGCTGTATAAAAGTTTAAATAAAAAATAAAGTGGTCCAACTAGGGCGTTCGACACCCAGAGTAGATCATTTTTAACACTCTCCCACTACATAGAGAAAATGATTTTCAATAATTATCTTGAAATGAAAAAAACAACAGAAAAACGCAGACAGTAAGAATTGTGGTTTGGTCACTGTAGATGTGCCCTTTACATTGGTAGTCATTGTAGGTAGATTATTTCCTGCACACGGAATGCCTAGCAACCTCAAGAGGAGCCCCTGTGTTCCAATGTGTAACATGTGTTAGGCCCCTTTCACAGGTGCTGTGTCCATTCCATTAATCAGGGGATCCATGAACCAATCTGCTGAATCGGAGTGAAATGGTACATATGCCACTTTTCTGACAAATGTATCTATTCACTTTTTTTTTTCCCCCCAGACTTCAACAGACCCGTATTTAGTCCATGGGAAGGTGTATGTAAATGATCATGTTTCTTTTCACATCCACCTACCTCTCTATCAATCGCAGAACTTTTCCGCTTATTTTTTGGGGGGGGATTTAGATGGACTCAGGTAATCCAATGTAAATGGCTGCTTGTTCTTTTACATCTGCCTGCCCACAGACTTGCATGAATTTTACGTTCAGTTCCACCTGAGAAACTGTCAGGCGGATCTGAACTGAACAGCCTTGTGGAACATTGGAAGAAATTGTTTTACAGTACACTGTCAAACATTTACACTAAAATTACACAGACTTACCTCTCTCTAAAGCATTTTCTATAGTCACTAAAAGGAAAAAAAAAAGACATGATTTATCTACACAAGCCAAATCAATCACAAGGCTTTACAGGAATCAGCACTGATGACACATATAGACCCAATGAGATCTGTGACTGGGCTGCTATCTGTACTAAAAGCCCATTCACACCAGATTGCCGTGCAGGAAACCCGCATTCTGTGCACATTTCCCACACTTCATTTAAACACACTGCAGTTGTGATATGCAGCAGGTGTCAAAGTTAACTCAACAACACCCCAAACGCAGGTCACAAACACAGTGCTTTTGCTTGCACTGAATTACATTGTACAGAAGTAGCATGTGATGCAGTTGCAGTGCATTTCACTACTGGTGTGGTGTGATTTGAATTCATTCAAAATTAATGAGCTCAAATCACATTGCCCTGAACCACGTGAATCGCAGAGGAATGCGCTGGGTGTTCCTGTGTGACTCCCGGAGTGAACCAGCCCTAAATCCAAGCTTACCGATTACCTCTACAGGGTTCTGCAACCCCCTTACATTATGCTAGCATTCCCCACACTCTGTCACTTTGAAAGGAAGCAGAGATAAATATAGAGACATTCAGAGTAAAGCTGGCCATACACTACACTGATCAGCCATAAACATTATAACCATCGACAGGTAAAGCAATTAACATTTATTATCTCATTACAATGGCACCTGAAAGTGGGTGGGATATATTTGGCAGCAAGTGAACATGTTGTCCCTAAAGTTGTGTTGAAAGAAGAAAAAAAATATATGGATAAGAGTAAGGATTTGGGCAAATTTGAAAAGGGCTAAATTGTAATGGCTAGATGACTGGGTCAGAGTATCTCCAAAGCTGCAGCTCTTGTGGGCTATTCCTGGTCTACAGTGGTCCAAGGAAGGGAAACTGGTGAACCGGTGACGGGGTCATGGGAGGCCTGTGTAGTCTGATCCAATAGAAGAGCTACTGTAGCTCAAATTGCTGAAAAAGTTAAAACGGAGCCCCTGTTGTTTTTGCAAAAATTAAAGGTCAGCAGCTACAAAAACTTTAGCTGCTGACTTTTAATGAACAGACACTTGCTTGTCCCCAGATCCAGTAGTGTGCTCACCCAAAGGGACGCCCGGGACAGTCTTTGGTGTCCAATGCCAGCATTTTAACTGAGGGCACCCAGCTGTGACAACTTGTGGCTTCACAGTTGGATGCCCGCTGTGCATTGCGATTGGTCCTGAGGTCTTCTGGGACCTGTGCTGTGTCCCAACAGACTGCGGGGAGGGAAGGGGGAAGAAGAACTTCCGTTTGGATCAACTGTGTGATCTGAACAAAAGTGGGAGCGGGTACCTGTCAAAACTACGTACCTGCTCCTCCCCTCTTTAATGCTGATTCTGATAGATAGGTGTCAGATTACACAGTGCATCGTAGTCTGAGGTGTATGGGACTGTGTAGCCACAGACTGGTCAGGGTGTCCACAGCCAAACGCACCTACAATGGGCGTAAGCATCAGAACCGGACCACAGAGCAATGGAAGAAGGTGGCCTGGCCTGGTCTGATTAATTCAAGAATGGTTTGAGGAACACAACACATTTAAGGTGTTGACTTGGCCTCCAAATTTCTCAAGATCTCAATCCAATCGAACATCTGTGCGATGTGATAAAAAAAGAGGTCTGATCCATGCAGGCCTCACCTCACAAATTACAGGACTTATAGGATCTGCTACCGATTGCCTGGTGCCAGCTACCACAGTCCACCTTCAGAGGTCTAGTGGAGTCCATGCCTTGACAGATTATGGTGGGTGGTCATAATGTTATGGCTGGTCCATGTATACAATCAGATTGTACAATTAGTAGTCTTTAGATCAGGGCTTGACAAATTTGCTTTGACTCTAGGAGCCAGCTAAAAAACTTAGGAGCCAGTTGTTTTGGTTTTTTTTAGCACAGTGTGGGTTGTCAGCGTCCAGGGCAAGGTAAGACAAGTAATTTGTAAGGTGCAGAGTGCAGGACATGGGGTGCAGGGAGAGGGTACAGTGTGCAGAATGCAGGACATGGGGTGCAGGGTACAGAGAGGGGTGCAGGTTACTGCAGGACATGTGGTGCAGGGAGAGGGTACAGTGTGCAGAATGCAGGACATGGGGTGCAGGGTACAGAGAGGGGTGCAGGTTACCGCAGGACATGTGGTGCAGGGTTTAGGACAGTAGTGCAACCCCCCCACCCCTTCTGTGTCCTCCTGCATCCTCCCCAGCAGTGTTTGAGAGCATAGTGGATGCAGAGGGCTGCTTGTGGGCATAAAAACATCATGTCCCTCCCTGGCTGGCTACTTGCTGTCTGCCTTGCGGGCTTGCCCTGTTTACTACTGTAAGGACACTGTAGTCCTTTTTCTCAGCACCTTGTGGGGTTCTCTGTGGCAGTGTCGAGGTGGCACCATGATGGAGATTCGATCCTGCTCCTTCTTCTCTGTTCTGCTAGAGGACTCTGAAGGGACACAGGTAGCTGTGGGTGGAAGCAGGAGCCGATGCTGACAGTAATGCGGCCGTGGAAAGGAGAATTATAAAGATCAGTGAGGAGAGTCCTCAGTGACATATCCTGCCCCCCAGCCCAGTCTTCACAGGTTGAGTGCCACCACTGCCTCCTCCTCCACTCCCCTCACCCTCCCACCAGGCCCCGCTCCGAGCCACATTCCTGTCTGAATTATGCATCTGAGTTTCAAGCGGACACATCATTTAGACTGACAGAGAATGGGATGACAAAAGCCCAGGCACCAGGACACCATTTCTAGTCGCCATGGCGCCTGGGATTTGTTGAGCCCTGCTTTATTTTGATTGTGTTTGATTTTGGATTGTGTAGCTTTGTCCTCATGCATGCAATGTGAGGACAAAGCTACACAATGTGTATCCAGTAAGGCAGAGGAAGGCCCTTGAACTACATGGTTCTTTACAGATCTATAGGAGATTGCACAGACTGTGCTGTGTATGGTCTGCCTAATGGGGATCGTACAAACAAATGTTATAGTGTATGGTCAGCTTCAGGACAATGAAATGAACTGCTTTCATACAGGAAAGTGGAGGGATAGACTGGCTATAGCAGGGAGGGATGGGTGTGTGTGCTCTTCCTCCATTCCCTCTCTATACAGAGTGGAGCACACACCATAGTGAAGGAGGACCTCCCTGGAGGTGACATGTCAGGGCTCAGCCATCCCTCCACACAAAGCAATCACAGCACCTGACATGGAATGAGGGCGGAAGTGTCACTTCCTCCTACACCGGCAACAGGGACTATTACTAGGAACCCCCCACTGCTCGGCTTACCCAGGCACAGCTCACACACATAGGCGTAATACGACCAAAGCACGACCAGGGAGATGATGACTACGGGCACCCAGGCTAGGACTCGCTGACAACACCTCAATCCCCTGGACAGAGCCATTCCGCAGCCAGTCTGCATCCTGATCCGTGACACCAACTATCGCCTACTCTGGACTTCCTGATAGGCATTCGATTCACTCGGAAATACAGCGCATGCGTCGTTTATTCGGGTAAAATGCAGCGACATCTGGTGGCGTGTAGATAATATTACACCTTGCATAAAAGCAAATCGCTGTACCTCGGGTTACCAATATAAAGGGCTCATGTACACTGCAGACGGGCGGACTGACAACTCATGGGGCCCCCGGGCAATAGGGGATAATGGGGCCCCTGTGTCCTTGCCCAAACTAAAAAAAGCCTATGAAAAAGATACCAGGGGCATCTCATGGGGCCCCCTACTGACCCCGGGCCCTCGGGCAGTGCCCGAGTTTCCAAATGGTCAGTCCACCCCTGACTGCAGATGATAAACTGACGTTCAGGAGCTGTTCAGCATTGTTTTCAGCAGCCCCTGAACTCTCCCTAATGTTTTCCTATGTGTCCATGTACAGTCGTTTAGAGACAGTGGAATTTACAGTCTTTTTTTGAACGCACCAAACTTGTGTTCAGGATTAGATTTTTCTGGCGTTTCAAATGCCAAATGCTTGTAAATGCATGTAAACGCAGTTAACCATATTTATAAGTGTTTGTGTTTAGAAGCGTTTTTTAACTGTTCCATATCCAGATGCTGTCCGGAGCCTTTTTTCATCATCAGAAATGCATGTAAAGCATTTTCCATGTATTCAATGGACCCGGTACACCAGCGCAGTCAGTTCCAGGTTTTGCGTGAAGGAAAAGAATGATAGAATGTGCTGCAATATGCTCATGATGGGATCCATAGTGAATACAACCAGAAAAGACAGGTCATCGCAACACATACTGCTCTCTCTGCTTCTGCTCTCTCTATTTCTCTCAAAATGTCTGAAATAGTTAATTTTTTACAATTTTTCAGTGCATTCTGGGCATTTTGGAAGGTCTCCTGGGGTTATCTTTAAAAAACACTTCTAAACGCAAACGCGCATAAACACAGTATGCAAACGCATCTAAACAGTTTTTCCAGCAGTCAGTTTCCATCATTCAGAAGAGTTTTCCAAACGCTCCTTGTACATGAGTCCTAATGCATTCTCCGGGACGTTTCATATTGCGAAAAATTCATAAACTGAAACGTGATTTCCCATTGGAATGCATTGAAAACCAACAATGTTTCCTTTTAGTTTGTTTCCCACTATAAAAGAAACAAAGTATCCTTTAGCTCCGGGGAAAGTGACAGCTAATTCTGTGAGCTATAATGAAGAAAAAAAAAAGCCGGCAATTGCATTTAAAAATCGGCACCGCCATACACTTCGTATTGTGAAAAAAATTTGTAAAAAATTAGTAAACCGAGGCATTATTTTCAATGGATTTTCATTCGTAAACCGAAAATTACATTAACCGAGGCATTTGTAAACCGAGGTACACCTGTACTAAAAACTAAAGACCATGTCCGTAAATAGTCACCAATCAGGTTTCATCTTTTATCTGGGGAAAAAAAAGGAATGGAAATGCCACTATGGGCAGGTGATATGGCATGCAATTCTAAAATGAATTCTACACCCTAGTGGGCACGTTTTAAGTACTTGTTCACACCTTTAAGGAAAATTCTGCTTTGTTGTAAAAAAAAATATAGAAAGTAAGAAAATTCTATGAGTAAAAGTTTCCTGTTTGCAGTATAAACACATGTGGACGGTGCACTATTCTGTATGGCTATATACAGAATCTCTAAGGGCGCATTCACACCATGGTGCAGAGATAGATGTCAGTTTTTCTGCATGTGTTCTGCAAAGGCATAACAAAATCAAGTGTTCACTATGTGCCCTGTTCACACCACAACACTAGTATCATGTGCAGATTTGTTCAGCGCAGGAATCTGCATTGTGTATAAAAATTAATTGAAGCGTGCATATAAACTGATGGAAACTGATGTCTCTGCAAGTGAAATCTGCACGTCAGTTTCCTTCAGCTTTTCACCAATAAGGACACCAATGTATGATGTGAACAAGCCCTAACAGTACACCACCCAGACATTAACAACTACATGTTCTACTCTGCCCCCCATAGCACATACACAAGAATTGAGAACATTCTGGTCTCTCTTTCCCTTCTTCCTGACCTATCCAAAACTGCAAATGAAATTCAGAAGGTCTCACATCAAGCACTGGTCTCTGTGGATGTCCAAATGCATTCAAAGACTTCTACTTTAAACTATGTAATCTGCCAGGACCATCAGATCCTGCTTCCTTAAATTTCAAGAAGCAGAGGATTCAAGATCATCTGTCCCCAAGGAGATGGTTGAATCTCTCAGTAGCCAGATTTCCTTGCTGCAAGTCATTAAAACTACACAAAGCAGCTGAACCAGATGGGTTCACCATCAGTTATTATAAGGTCTTCACACCTCTTCTGTCCCTGAGGTTTGTAGACACCTACAACCTGATACTACAGGATCATGTCCTACCTCTAGACTTTTTGAGAGCACATATCTCTGTGATCCCTAAGGAAGGTAAATATCTCTCCCTATGTTCTAACTTTTATCCTATATCACTATTGAAATCAACTTGAAGATCTTTACAAAAAATGTTTTATACTGCCTTATGCCTCTTCTTTAATCCATTATTCATCCTGATCATGTCGGCTTTGTGCCAAGAGAAGCAAAGGACAATACCACTGGAGTCCTTGATGTGATACACCTAGCACATGTCTAGAAGGTCCCTCTTTGCCTGCTATTCACCAATGCTGAAAAGGCATTTGACAATGTGGGCTGGTACTTCTTAGAGACGACACTAGCCCACATAGGTGTGAGGGACAATATGTGTAAATTTATTGCTTTCCTATATTCTACTCCCACTGCAGTGATGTGTGTCAATGAAGCCATATACTCATACTTTGCTTTGGCTAATGGCACATGCAAGGATGCCCATTATCACTACTTATATTTTTTTCACATTGGAACCCTTCTTGTGCAATATCCAACAGAATCTGGACATCAAAGGCTTCCTCACAAACCGAACAACCTAAACGGTGGCCGACTTTATGGACAACCTCTTGTTCTTTAGCACCTCTCCAAATACAACCCTGCCAAGTATTGTCAGTGAACTGCGAAAATACAGAAAACTACCCAGGTTTAAAATCAATCTCCTGTGTAGAAGCACAATGCTCCATCTTTCCTTTTCAGTGGGAGAAAGCCCACATTACCTATCTCAGTACCAAAATGACTCCAGCAATAGACAAACTGTTTGTGGCTAACTTCCACCCTTTTCTCAGCTCTATTATAGAGGACCTCCAGTGGTGGCAGAGACATACGTACACCTGGCTGGGCAGAAATGCCACAATGAATATTACCGTTATGCCCAGGGTGCCATACCTATTTCAGACCCTTCTGATAGCAATCCCACATTTTTTTTAATTATTGCACATGGAGTTCCTCCATTTCATGTGGGCCAAGTCCCATCCACGTTTATTGTCTATGTAATTTATCATGCCTAAATTGTGAGGGGGGGATAGTTCTCCCTAATTCTGTAAAGTAGTAGGTGATGCACCTACCAAGGGTGATAGTCTGGTGTAGAGATTATGAGTCCAAACAATAGATATCATTGTAACAATTTTGTTCTGATATCTGTCGGAAATATTCTGGGCTCTCAGAAATAAACTGGAAGGCCTGAACTTAGCATGGCTACGTGGGCATGCTGGAAGCCATTTTGTTCTTTATATTCAATTTTCTTGGTTTCTGAGCAAAGTTTCTAACAGCAGACATTCCTAGTTTCTTACTGCATACTTTCCCAGGTTATAAATTTGGGGGGGGGGGGGGTTATTCCAGGCAACTACAAGATAAAAAGACTGGACATGATACCAAGTTGCAAGATAAAGGAGGACTCCATGTCTCTTCTGAAAAAAGGACAAAAGAACTTTTCACGATGATTTTTTTTCTATGAACGTCTGGAAAAGAGTTCATATTAAACTTTACATAGCATGTGGTGTTAATATTATTTGACAGGACTATTTTAATCAAAAATGTCAATTGTATTATTATTATTACATGAAGTGAATACTTACTTAAGTAATTTGTGTTTTATATTACTATATCCTATTTCCATATACATATATATTTTAGCTATATTAATTGGTTTTAACAAAATACATACAGTACTGGTATACATTGTGGCTATTATGTTTTTAACATTATATCTAATTAGTTTGAGACCATTATATTACAATGTCTATATGCTACAGAAGAAGTTAAATAATTAAGAAATCTCAGTACATATGACCTCAACGATTGTCTGTAAGATGCATAGGTAGAATTTTTTTTCCTCTCTCTCAAGAATCATTTAGGTAATACATTATTTTCAGTGACACTGGTCCCAGTATGTCTATCCAGTTCTGTCAAAAGGGCTCTTCTTAAATTTACAGGGTTTTTTTTTTTTACAAGCTAAGGGTTAAAGGTCAACTCGTGACATAACACAGGAAAAATCCCAAATTATTCCTGATCCTATACTGCCCCCTTCAGGTAATTAGGAAAGGAAATGACACCTAATTTGACATCATAATTAGGCGAGATAAGCTATGCCCCCCTAGGTTTTTTTTTTTGGGGGGGGTGATAAAAGGTAGGAGACGGAGAGAGAGAGGAACAAGAGAGGAGACAAACAAAAACAACAGACGGACACACACAGAAGCAAGCTGGCCAAGAGCTGAGATCACTGATACCATAGAAAATATAGGTAACGTATAACTCTTTTCTGCAGACAATTTGTACTAGCCTTATATCTCCAGCTAAACCATTTAGTCTGATAACGGTTATAGTTAGCATCGGAGTTGATGTGAAATAATTTTAACTGCAGTATAAATTATTTTCATTTCCATTTTCTAGGGGTGGGGGGGACGATTCTCTTTTAAATATCCCTGAAGCTAATTTCAGCTTCTAGTCAATGGTTTAGCTGGATATATATGACAAAGTAGACAACTTAATGGAACATTTGATCTTGACCTCAGATAGATTCTCAGCTTATTGGA